CCTGAAGTGTGGTTCCATGAGTGCGCATGTGGACGTAATAACTTCGTATAGCATACATTATACGAAGTTATACGATATATATATATATATATATATAATTTATATAAATATATACACATATATATATAGAAATATAGAAATAAATGTATAAATACATATACAAACACAGACATAGACCGATACAGATACAGACACACTTACACAGACACAGATATCTATATATTTATATAAATATATATATTGATCAAATGAGTAGGTATGATAATTTTCTAAAGGATGATGCCTACCGGTGTCGTTGACTGTAATCCATGCGTGGGTACGTATATCACCCACACTGGTAAACATCGATCGTATCGGGCACATATAATCAAAACGCCGACAACACACCATAGACATCGCACAGTCACTAATATGACTGACTATCAGTACATAGTAGGGTGTACGTCGGGCTTGTTTGTCTGCCGAGCTGATTGCGGCAGACTTGGGGGTTCGGTTCGTAGCAACAGTTAAGGTGTCACACACTCATTTTCGCATCACAGTGGCGATTCGTGCAGTATGTGCTGGGCAAAAGACTTGGCGAGAGTATTGCAGAAGCTAAAGGCGCTTATTGGGACCGATGTTTGGAACCCAAAAGAATGATTCGGGCCGGTATTTATATATATTGCACTTCGTTGACTCGACTCGCAAGGACGAAGCCCTCTTCGCGGGAGGGGGCTTACCAATCACATCCCTTCTGGCGACTGTGTGAACCATTTATAACCCACTTAACACAACCACCCCTATCTTACTGAAACCAATCAGATATTTCCATGAGTACTATATGCAATACATCGGCGCTCCGGCCAGAGCCCTCGCTAGCGTACCACTAAATACTACTATGGTTTACGCAATTTAAACGTACAGAAGTACACCGTTTGCTTCCCAGAAACACCGGTACGCGACTTAGACGCAGGGCAGAGGCCGCACGCATACACAGGTTTAAAATATACACAGGTTTATGCCGAAACGACGCTTGTGCTCGACTATATAATAAACCTCCGTTTTTTTTGGTGCAGTTAGAACTGAGCACTACTGCTAACTAGACCATGTCCATGAAAGACCCACCACAGAGTACGCGTGACGCTATATCACAGGGGTTTTATTAGAGGAAGTCAGCTCAAAGTTTACACTTGACGGCAATAAACCTGGACCGAATTGTTTAAAAAAAAAGCCAAAAAGAAAAAAAAAGAAGAAAAAGGCCAATATTTTGGTACAAATCCCGATTCCACTAGAACTGTATACATTCAGAACCCATTCCAACTGGCGTCCGGTGGCCTGCGTGTCCCTCAGAAACTTTTGAGCGTATCTAGCAGCCACGTGTAAAACGGGCCTGCCGAGGGGATGTGCAATCGCTCGTCGGGCGAATGGGCACCCTGTGCGTTGTCAAGAAGCAGCGTAACAATGAGTCAATTAAGTCTGAGCGAGCACACAGACGTGTCTGATGAAGCACGGTGCGCCACGAATTGGACTTTGTATAAACCTCGTGTTCCATTGAAACAATCGCATAGCGCAGATCAACTGGTGACCGGTTACCAACCACCAGGCCCTGAGTTGTATGACACATAAATGGTGTAGGGTGTAGTGTGTGGATTGGCATCCATCTGTTCACCTGAAGACCATTATAACAAACACATCACTGGAGATACCAGACATCACGGCTAGGCGCTCACCACCAGGGGCTGACAGCTACAGATATATAACTACACCCGACTCTACACCTAGAGAGTCAACCCGTAGCCATACACCTGTAGCTTTAGGGTTTAGGGTTTTAGCACACTCTCTCGCCGCACCCAGTCAGCCGTACAAGACTAATCCACAAACACCCCAGCAAGTACTTTCTCACAAGCACAGGTGGCCTATGTAAAGTCACCCGCGAAAACCTCAGATTGTTAAACCCCTAAACTCTCAACTCCAAACCCTACATGCACGTGGTGCAACCCCCACCCCCGCGCACACACCTCAATCAAGGGGCCTATGCTCGCACAGTCCAGTTTTGGATAGGCGATCTTGAACGCACCGCACTCAAGGCCAGCATGGATTGAGTAGACGCGTGCGTCTGTACCGAACAGTCGTTTGTGGCTCTCTCGTAGCTTCTGCAGTGGCAAGGACGCCATGTCGGGCTCCCTGAGACGACGAGAGAGTGTGCAGTTAGTACAAGAGAATGTGGATATAGTGCAAGCGAGAGTGGGTATAGTACAAGCGAGTGTGCAGATAGTCAGACACAGAGGTGCGTTCAACAGTGAATAACAGGGGGTGCATGCATATGTTGCAGGAGAGACTGGGGATGGAGGGGGCGTGTTGTTGTGTTGTGTAGCTTGCATTGGGTGTGGCTTTACGGTGTAGTAGTGCGAGTATGACTCGTGCCCTGTAATACGACAAACGGACAATACGACAATGGAACAGGCGCAGGTGCAACCCTGGGGCTAGCCGCAGCACCCACCCACACACTGTGCCATTATAAACAAAGGATGATATGCATGGAGGTCGAACGCAGACCGACATACAGTCGCATACATAAACTACAGACCTACAAACGAGGTCATCTACGGAGGCACGGAATGTGCACACAACTTATGATCAAGATACATAGGACTTAAAACATGTACATACATATAGATAAAGACACATACCATCCAGGGAAAGGGCATTCGTCTTCAGAGCATGTAGCACCGGCCAGACGCGCCAGGCTTTCGTAGATGCGGCGCTCATTGGCCATGTGTGTCTCTACATGGGGAATAAACCAGGTTTGCACGGTGAATGAATCGGGATTGTTACATGCAGAGGATGAGAGAACGCATCAGTTATCCAGGCATAGCGCGGAGTTGTGTAGCAGTGCGCCTACATATATATTGCATCAGCACGAGTACTATGGACAGTGACCCCGGTGCAGGTGGCCTTCAAAGATAGAGACAAGTGGGATAGAAACATCAATACAATCCCTGAAACACACGTGAAAAGTAGCGAAGGGTCTGATAATAAAATTATGAACGTCTGTGTGCATATCGAAGTATATGACTTTAATGTCATGAATGTCTCTATACGTATCACAGTATATACTTCTAATATCACGATTGTCTCTAAAGTATATACTTCTAATATCACGATTGTCTCTAAAGAATATACTTCTAATATCACGATTGTCTCTAAAGTATATACTTCAATATCACGATTGTCACTAAAGTATATACTTTTATTATCACGATTGTCTTAAAGTATATAACTCTAATATCACAAATGTCTAAAGTATATACTTCTAATATCACGATTGTCTCTAAAGTATATACTTCTATTATCACGATTGTCTCAAAGTATATAACTCTAATATCACAATTGTCTCTAAAGTATATACTTCTAATATCACGATGGTCTCTAAAGTATATACTTCTATTATCACGATTGTCTCAAAGTATATAACTCTAATATCACAATTGTCTCTAAAGTATATAACTCTAATATCACGATTGTCTCAAAGTATACAACTCTAATGTCACAGTTGTCTATCGACATGCCTCCGTTGTGCGCATGTGCGCATTAAGTGTATGGGTATCACACATATGAAGTAAACAGTAACTGTGCATGCATGGAGACCGTAGATGGCTCTCTGACACTTTGTAGTTAAATTTCCCGCACTTATAAATTCACGTATAATATTTACATAATATTATTTACATATGAAATTTACATTATAATTTTCATGTGCAATTTACATATGAATCTTGCATTAATATATACACATAATAAATACATTTAATTTTTTACATTTGATATGAACATATAGAATTTTCAAATCTATGTCGATAAAAATAAAGAGGTATTCGAATGCTTTTCAGCAGGCATGTATATCGAATCAATTCTGGAATGCAATCGGATAAGACCTCGAGGTACACTTACAGGGCAAGACAACGTTACTACATCAATATGTAAGTGTATGCATATACGTACGTATGAGTATACAAAGGCGTGCCTGAACGCGTTGTCGTACTAGCTCAGATAAACGCCCTCATAGTTACAACGTCCAAACATTAGAGTAGCCCTGATAACCCTAACAACCCTACCTGAAGAAGATCGGCAGAACAACTTGGCATAGAAGCCCGTCTCTTCCAGACGCGCAATAGTGAAGGCCACAGAGGTGTCAACATCACCCGTAACGGCTGTACTCATTCTACTCGAGAAATAAGCAGGACATGTCAGTATACGACGAAGATGATAATACGACTGCTGCTTGTCTTATGAATCTTATGAATGTCGTATGATTGTCGTATATATATATATATATATACGTACATACACACATGTACATGTACATGTACATGTACATGTACATAAACATATATATATATATGCATTTACATATACGCATATATGGCCAGATACTTGCGCACTACAACGAAGGTATCTATACATCTCCACGTGACTGCTTGGCCCAATGCAGGAGGTTCAGATGGACCCAGATCCGTAGAATACACTGCAGGACCGTCTATTCAACCGCACACACACCGCCCCACCTATCCACAGTCACATGTACCAGCGCTCCCTTCGAACGGCCATACCAACCATCCCTACCTACACCACACTAAAAGCAAACCGCTCTTAAGCCACAAACCCCAAACCCAAGCACACGCACGCACAGCCATACCTCTGCACACCATGCGGCAACGTCTGTGAGAAGTCGATCACCTTTCGCGTGCAAGCGGCAGCACACGCGTCCCTATAAGAGCCTTCGTCTTTGGTCACACTCACACGGATAGCCCCATCCGATGTCTTGTACTCATGCTGGATATCTGCAAAGACGGTCTGTACGCCGGCGGGGCCAAAGGGAGTGGGGGGTGAGATCAGATGCTACGTAGACTACGGCATGTCCAGTTGGCTGTGCGTACTTTTGCACCACAAGGCGCCGGTAAAGAGTGTGCATGGTGTACCTTATTTGTTTGTTTGCTGAAGTGTGGTTCATGATTGTGCATGGTGTACTTTACATGCTTGTTT